CCAGCCCCAGCATTACTTCTTATACTTCGTTTTTATACTTTTCTGCTGGATGGTTAAGACCAAGATAAAGCAAGACCTATGCAACAAGAATTGTAGCTTTTGGATCTGATAAGGTCAGTCAAATCCCCTCAGGATTTATCCTGTGATCCTGTACCTCAGATTGTAGATCCTTTATCAGTGTCAGCCATGTGGATGAGTCGCAGTCATTGCTTGGCCAATGTGCTCTCTGTGAAAGCCTGAGAGAATGTTTTCTCTCCATGTGATTCTCCTTAGACACACTCTACATCATCGGTTACTTTCCTCTTTGGCCCCATAATCTCCTTGATCAGAAAATTTGGGATACTACTGAGTTACATGACGTTACAGTACAAGTTCTCATATGTCCTGAGTCTTAAGTGACCTTGGAAGGCTAGGGCCAAAATGTTGGCTTTCCTTGTGACCCTCCTTTTTCTGTAATTTTGGTTTTGCAAACTTAGGTTGTTAACCCTCCAAAAGAGAAGCTTATTGTTATTACCATATAACCTAGGCTGTTAATTTTTCTTTTTTCTGGCACTGGGGATTGAATTCAGGGTTGAACTTACCAGACAAGCACTTATGCTACTGAACTGTCTCTCTGGCCTCTTATAGGTACATTTTAGATATACCTAGTTAGGGGCTGGGGAGATGGCTCAGTACAATAAGCGCTTCCCTGGCAAGCGCAAGGACCTGAGTTCAATTCCTGGCTCAGCAAAAAAAAAAAAAAAAAAAAAAGAAAAGAAAAACATACCTAGTGAACAAATTTGTACCTATACATGATATAACCTGATTCTTTTTCCCCATTCACCTACCCTCCCTTTTATTCCTTCTCAGCTTCCCATGTATAAAAGCTTTGCTTCCATTTTTTCCTTCTTATCTCTCTCTCTTTTTTTAACTTTTCCTTTTTCCTTTCTCATTTGCTCTACTTCACCAGGAGATCATGGTACTGTGATTGGATGTTTTGTATCACCATAACAAGCAAGCCTTGCTTCCCCTTCCTATCAAAGAGATGATAGTTTTGGTATGGAGAAGTGGGAGAAAGAATTGCAGAAAGTAGTTTTTCTTGAACTGGAAAATGTGAAAATAAAGTTTTCAGCTCTTTCAGTTAAAAAGGAAAAACAAAACTGTAAAATATCCAGGACTGTTGTTGCTTTGGGAACTCCGTATTTGGTCTTAAAATGTTAACACTGTTCAACACAAATAGGCAATGGTAATAGTTGGAATATTGGTGTAGGGGCTGGGGGTGTAATTTGGTGCTCCAGTGCTTGTCTGCCATGCACAAAGCCCTGGGTTGAATCCCCCCAGCACCAGCAGGATACTGGTTTAGTTCCTGTAACAGATCCTGCAGAGGCTTAAACAAAGCAGAAGTATATCTCTTTCTCAGGTAATCAAGGTTCTGCAGAGCAGCTCCACAGCACTGGAAACTCCTTTCCCCGTGGACTCACCCGTATTGGCACATGACCTTCACCTTCCTGTGAAGAGGGTGGATACAGCTCCCTCCCTCACAGCTGTATTCTAGCCACCAGAACAAGGAAAAGGCATGGTTGTGCCTGCACACACCCCTCCTCTTCAAGGGCAGGACCAAGAAGAGGTTGAGATAGGGTCTTGCCAAGTCACTAGTTGCCCATAGGCTGGGCTCAGAGTACTTAGCAGTCCTCCCGCCTCAGCCTACCGGAGTGCTGGCATTACAGGCATGCTGCATCATCCCCAGGTCCTCCTTGTATCTTGTTAGACAGAAGAGTTTCATAGGCCACACAGGGCTGCAAGATAAGTCATGGAAAGATGGCGGGGGTTGGGGAGTGCCAGTAGAAAAGAGAGCATATATCTAAAGCTTCAACTGCGTTATATTGAAAGAATAAATATTGGAGGACAGTTGGCCCTTCTTCCCTGTCACTCTGTGAAGATGAGTTTAATAGGAAAAATGTGGACTTGGATGTAAGAAGCAAGGCGCTATGGGAAGCCTTAGGCCAAACTGGCACTTATGCCTTCTTTTTCATCTGCGCCGGATTTGACCAAATCCATGTACTTCTTTCATTGAAATGAATCTCCCATGGGTTGAAGGCACACCTTTGCTTTGAAGCTGGCAATATAGCAGTTCATATTTGGTGACATTGTGTCAGCTTGAACTCGTGCTTTCACTGAAAAGTATATATGACAGGTCCAGTGTTTTTATGTCAATTGAGCATCCACGTGGTAATTTACCTGGGTAAAGATTGGTTGGCATTTTCTTCAGAATATTTTTAGGGACAAAATTCCCTTCTCATCACAATACAGATATAGGGCATTGTTTTGACATGCAGTCAGATTTTATTTTTACAAAATGGCATTTGTGTCTCAGGGAACTAATGTAATCTAGGAGTCAGGAATTTGCGTTCGAACTTCAGAACTCCATAGTGATGTCACCTTGACCAAGTCATTGGACTTCGCTATTTTTCTTGGGTAATAATGTCTGAGAAGACAGTCAAGAAGTAGCCTCCCTCATCAGTGTATCTATTTGGCCAACAATGATGAAGTCACACATGTCATCATTTGATTATTTGTTATTGGAAAACTACAAATAATCTTAGTTCTCTTTAAGGATGAGTTTTGCTCATAGCTAGCTAGATCACCAAAAGAAATGAGTATGAAAGATATCTTTAATATTTGCCAGTTTAGCACTTTACAGCATTCTTCAAAAGGCTTTTTTTTCCCTTTGGAAAAAGTTGAGCTCTTGAGATTAGGAAATTTAAATAATCTTGGTAGGTAGAATATTTCTTGTGATAACATACGTTCTTTTCTGAGAATGCATTTTGGGACATTGTAACACAACTCCTTTATTCTTTGAAGATCTCTACCAGTTTCACATTTTAGGCAAGACTTAATTTTAGCCAAGTTCACTGAAAGCACTCCTGTGTTACCTCCAGTAATTTCATCTGGTTCCTTTTTATGCACCCCTGACATGGCCAAGTTATACAGAGTATATAAAACAAGCTGCTTTCTGTAGGAGTGGTGTGTGGTTTAGTGGTTCCCCTCTCTTGTGTGGGAGGGTTTCCTCTTGCCTGTCCTTAGCCATCATTGATGTGTTGTTTTCTCTTGCAGATGACACAGTTGGTGCTGCCTGGCATGGTAGAAAGGTGAGTCACAAGCTCACACGTGGACACTGGATGCAGAGCTCATTGTTATTTATAGGGAGAACCCTTTCTTTGAAAATTTCATTAAAATGACTAATGAACCTCACCTCTGTGTCTTAGCGCCAGGCGAATCACATGGTGGAGCATGAGTCACTGGTGGAGGAGGCCTTTTCCTCTCAACTCTTTTCCTCTGTAGGGTTGTGGGGGTTCCTGTGGCTCGGGATTAAAAAGGCAGCCTGAGTCACTATCACTAACTCAATTGCCTGCCATTCCGAGGGGGCGGCCAGAGTTCCTGGGATATTCCCGGGAATGCCTTCTTAAAGCTGTATCCTCTCAGAGCCTTTACCAGCGGAGTTTCATGAGGCACCAGATTGCCTTTTCAGTTCTTCCCGGGAGAAAGGCTGTGTGGGGCATATAGGTGTGTTGTGAAGTGATCCGATGACGTCATACCCACCTTGGGAGGGAAGGGCAGTATCTGCTGGCCCTGCCTGTTCTGCAGCTTGAGTTGGGTACCACCAGCATGTGCCGGAGGTCTTCTTTTTCTTGAGCAACATATGATAGTTTTTACATCTCAGAGTGCAATGTGAAGAGTGTGCAGTGTAAAATTGTAAGTAAGCTTCATGCCTTCCAAGGAAAACCTTTGGAAGAGCAGGGCTTGCACCTTGAGCCAGCTTGTTCAGTGGCTGCCTTTCAGCCTCCATAGTCATCCCTCCTCTGCAGGCTGGCCTGGAATTTGGAGGAGGCCCAAAGGAATCACAGCTTTGCAAGGGGCGAACCTGAGACCCTCCTTCTGCTGAGACCTTAGTGCCCAGCCCCAGGCAGACATGATAGCTTGCGATCATTGAGTACTCCCGTGTGCCAGGGGTTGTGCCCACAACATAGTATGTGTTAACTCATTTAATCATTGTAGATGAGGCTAGGAACCCATTTGCTGAGCATCTACAGAGATGATACTGAGCATCTACAGAGGTCAAGAAACGTCTCAGCAAGGTTCTTTGTAGTTCTGTTTTATCTCTACAATAAAATTTCCCTTTAAAACTTTCACACTGCTTATTATCAGTTGACAGTGGAAACAAAGTCCTGCTGGTCTCATATGGGACTGGCTAAAGCAGCTCAGCCCTAGAATATGAGCACGGGTAGGGAGGCAGAAGAGAACCTAGGAAGAATGAAATTGGGCCCATGCTCTGAATCTGAGCTTTGACATCTGTAAGTCACATACTGATAGCAAATCCATTGATGAAAAAAAAAAAAAAAAAAAAACCTGGCTGGGGTGTGTGGCTAAGTGCTAAGAGTACTTGCATGCATGGAGGGCGCAAGTGTTTATAAACCACAGAAGTATTACTGTAACATAAATTCTTAAGTGTGTTAGTGAAAACCAGTAAGAAAAGTGATGGTTGTGGAATCATTTTGCAGCACACACAGTTTTAGGTTCAAAGAGTTACAGAAATCTAGTGGTGGAGGTTACTGGAAAGCAGCCCCTTCATTTGACAGGGGACAAAACTGAAGTCCATAAGGGTGAAGACTCCGTTGCTACACCGAGTTAGCGCACAGTACAGATGCAAGGAGCTAGGAACTTCACAGCTGTCTCTACAGACTTGCCAGCCATTGGCGCAGTTACAGTAAGAGCATCAAATAAAAACAAACAGTGCAGAGAAAAGAATTCACTTAATGGACCTGGGTTGAGTAGCATTTGTTTTGGCAGGCTTAGAAGGTGAGGTGGATCCTTGTTTTCAAGAGATCAAGTTGAAAAGTGACCTGGGGAATGCCATCAGAAGCTGTGGGTTGAAACAGACTTCAGGAACGTTAATGCTGCCCACGCTAAGGACTGCTGTGCAGCGCCTGGGTCTTATGAACCTGGCCTTTTGCTTAGAACATTTACATTGACTTGAATTTAAAGGAGTTGCTAGGCACAGTCACAGGCTACCCCCCATCTCAGTAAGTGAGTGTGGTAAAAGCTTCCTTCCCCCTCCCATGTCTCCCCTGTTGTTCAGGAAACAGGTTCCTTCCACCTGAGGCTTCAGTGTTCTTTAAGGGCTTGGAGTTTTCGCTGTGTCCCATTAAGACATGAGGGAAGAGAGGGTTTGAATGTTTTCAGGGAGGTTTCATGGGCCAGCGCAGGAAGTGGTGTGCGCTACTTGTGCTCGTTTCCCACTGTCTGCAGTTCAGTCTGCCCCAAGCTACAGCACAGTGTAAGGGAGGCCCAGAGTGCCAGTGGGTACCCAACAGGAAGGAGAGCTCCTGAGTGAGCAGGTCTCCTGGATGTTGTCTTGATTACGCATGATAAGTGGTTTCATTACAGGGTACTCTTTACACCACCCCCCTCAATGGCTCTTTTCTGTGGCTGATTCTCACAGGATTGATGTCTCTACTGAGTAACAGCAGTGTCCTTTAGAAAGATCTTTTGTTACTGAACGTTTTTGTTTTCTTCCTTTCACTGGCTCTACCTCTGATGTATGAGATTTTCCAAACCCTTAAGAACTATAGCCTCGGGCCAACTGACTATTGCTAAACAAGTATCTATAATCAAACTAAGTATTATTACCGTAGAAGTAGAAAGAGCATAATTACATTATAAAGGAAACTTGCCCTTTCTACTTCCCTGGAATTATAAACATTGTGTACAGCTGGAGCCCGGAGGTGGTTGCCATAACAACCACAGAAAAGCTAAAAATAGCCTCTTTTATATTGTATTGCTTAAGGTGGAAGTATGACATGTTGTGGTGTTTTAGGGCAGGTAATTCTCTTTCATGTGCTAAATGTTTGCAAACTTTCTTCAACAAAGCAATATGTGTATAATGCAAGTATTTGGATTGCTACCTCTAATTGTATTCCTGACCCCTGTGTTCCAGGATTCTTCTCTAACGTCGAATTCCATGTTGATATGTTTCTTTGTCTTTATGAGTCTATCAGAGAACTTTCTACTCCAGTTTCAGTATTGTGTTTATGCTTAAGACATGTGAAACAGCCTGCGAGAGCCTTCGTGGACGTGGAGGCTGAGATGCACTCGTGCTCAGTGTCCCTTCACTGCCATCAGGCTCTGCGCACGCTGTCCACGCCGACTGACCTTGTGGCGCCGCTGGCTCTGCAGCAGCGTTTACACCTCCGCACCTCTCCTCATCTACACTGTGGGGGGTGCTGAGGCTTCTCAGGGAAATCTGTGGCTCATTTCAAAGGAGACCGATAGTTCCTCTGTGACTGGAGTACCTTTCTGGGGAAGGACAAGGATCCTGCAGTAGTCTGGGGCCTTTGTAGAACAAGGGCTTGGTAATTTTGCAAAAGCCAGGTTACAATTAAAGAGTTGCACCTGGAAGTACGCGCATCTGAGGGAATTCTCATGGCATGCCGAAAGCTGTGAGTGCAAGGCGCCGAAGCTTGTAGACTGGGTGCGCTTCATGTTTGGCTTGTGGGAGGGCTAGTGATGGAGGAAAATGCATTTGTATGAAAAGGTGTGTGTTTACCAGCAGTTGGTGTTTTCTGCTTTGCACCATTTTAGTTCTAGTAGGTCCTAAAATAATTTGTATAGGGAGACATCATTATGTAACTTAGCAGGAAAGCAAGGTGATGAATTAAGAAGGTTCCATCATAGAAAATAGTTCTTGCCCAGTTTATTCAGATGTTTGTCTTAACAAACAGGAAATGTGTTGAAGTATGAGCAACATTAATCTTCACTATGGAACTTGCATAAAAATTCTTAAGGTACCTTTCAATATTAGAATGTTTCCCAAGCCCCCAGAGAGTGAGAGGTTAACCGAGGTTTGGGTTTGGGTTTGTTTCTGTGTGCAATTAAGTGCAGCTGTTTTGTCCTTCTGCTTGATGTATAACAGAGTTGTCAGGAGTCTGGCTGTGCCATGGAAACGGGTTTGACGTCACTAATTCTGCCTAGATGGAGGATTAGAGCTAGACAAAGTAGTTGATCTACAGACGAGTCCTTTGTGCCACAGTCCCAAATATCCCCTCCCATTTCAACATAAAAAATAGATACTGTATAGAGTGGAGGATTAAGGCAAGTTATATCAGTATGACACTGGTGATTCAGATAAAACCAAGTTGAATATTATGCTGGGGGGGAGGGAAGAAGTTGGGAGAGAGAGAGAGAGAGAGAGGGAGAGAGAGAGAGGGAGAGAGAGAGAGGATGAATTGTGAGTGTGGGAAGGGTTTTGCTAGACAAATGTGTGTCTCTGATGCTAGGACAGATCTGTAGGTGAGTTGCTTTCTCTTCAGGAAAAGTGGGTACAATTTTAAATGCTGTCCCTTGATTTATTTAGGTCTAATGCATTCTCTCTTTGTATAGCACTTCGAGGATCTTAAATTTGTTTTAATGTATTTTACAATGCAAATACTCTATTTGGCATAAAGCACCCTAAAATTCTGTCTTCCTACTCACCCAGAGTACCTCTGTCCCCTAGAAATTATAATTAGAGTAGAATATGTGAGTAACTGACCTTCACTGCCTCAAGGAATAAACAAGTGAAGGAGCATGACTGCATACTTATGACATACTGGATTATGGATGTAATTTTTTTAGTGGGAAAAATGCTTTTATTATCTTGTGTTACTTTTCCTCTGTTGAAATCATGGCCTTGGTGAGTAAAGTTTTAAGAATATACTTGATGAATTCAAGATTTAATTTTTTAAAGTATTCTATAAGGTGAAACTTCAAACTCTGAAGACTTTTAAATTGCTTTTCACTTGTGCGAGCTGAAAGAAAACGTGCAGGATCTTTGGTTGAGGACACCCATGGCCACGCCAGCTACTCTGAGTCCTCTGGAGCAGAGTCCAGCTGACAAGACTGGCTGTGGCTGCAGGGTGTGGCCTTGGTGCAGAGCACCAGCTTCCTTGACGTACCTGCCTTTCTCTTCCCTTGTTCTGTGTGAAGCCATTGTGATGCCTGGCTGGATGAGAGCAGGAAAGACTGCAGACCTTGGCTCTTGGGGGTGTGGGAGCAGGTATTAACTGGTCAGAAGTTGCAGTCACTTTGCAAAGCATATTGTGTTGCGTGAACT